AACTGACATCAATTGATAAAACTCCTTTTCCATCAGCCTAGCTTCATCCACACCAGGGTTTTTGCTGGCATAGCTTCTTCAGCTAGGGAGTCAATATACCTGTGCTGACAAAACTTAGCTTTTTGGGAAGATCAAGCATAATGAATTCTTGGGCCTGTGGGCCTGGGACTTGTACATAGGATGCCAACCCAGCACAGGGATATTGAAAGATATAAATATTGAGGTTTGGTATTTTACATTTGGAATTTAATTGGCTTTAGACTGATGTACATATACATATTGTGTGGATATATATAGATAGATAGATAGATATAGATAGATAGATCTCTCTCTATATAGATAGATAGATAGATAGATATCCAAAAAAAATTGCAGTATAGACACCTAGGTCAGGTCTATCTCTGAAGAGATATCAGCTGAATCATGCACTTCATTGAATTAATAAGTCCTGGAATGTTTCAGTGAACTTTTTCAGATTTAAAATAATGTCTTTAAAAAAATGTCATCATTCAAGTGGTTGCTAGTAATACTCCAACTATTACAGTTGCAAGGATTAAAAACTATTTCAATTCTTTCCATACAGGGCATTTTTATAGTCCATTCAACTTGAACACTGAAAAGGGACCTTTCTATTTCTCAGTCATTGATACTTGATATGTCCCTTCTAGAATGTAGAGTTCTAAGTGCAAACACTGCTGGGAAATGTTTAAATCCAAACTTTGATTTTTTCCTCCAAATAACTTTTCAGTGGAATGTTCTTACAAAATATCATTAACCAATCCAAATCTGTTTCCATTGAAGCCAACAGACTTTTCCTAGTCTAAAGTTTTGAAAGAAATCATTATTTAGGGGGGCGGGAAAAAAAGAATAGTAATTTTGGATCCAAGTACCTGACTGGGCCAAATCCAGATGACACAGAATTCAGCAATTGGTTTACTTTGGTGGGACTGTAACTTGATTATTAAATACTGTGACAGCTTCAAATTGACAGATCTAAATTTAAGATAGGCACTGTGAAAGTACAAAGATACTGCCAAAAATGTGGCTCGCTAAAACAAACAAACAGGGTATCATGGTAACAATTCTTGTATGTTAAAATAATTTCCACTTTAGAAACAGATTAGCCAAGTAAGCCGAGATAGTTTACATTCTACAGGAGGATCTTAAGCAGTATTTAGTAGTGATTTAGCTCTGCTCTTAGTGATGTTAATGGGGATCTTACCAGTGATTTCAGTTAAAGCAGTAGGAACAATTTCAAATTCATTTTTTAAATCCCATTTAAAATGCATTATGACTTATATAGCAAAAAGTGCAGCAAGCCCATTCAGAGAAACTCCTTTAATGCAGAAGCACAGATCACTACTGAGCTAGAGAAATGAGCCCAGAAAATGGAGAGCAGGGCAGGAGTGAGCCTTGCAAAATAGCTCTAACCCTCAATGTTAATTTGTTGCCAGAGATGACCCAAGTAAGGGGTGGGGCCCCAGGCAAATCAGCCCCCAGATGCGAGGAAGCCAGCGGCAGATTCGGGGTCGGGGGGCAAGCAGTTGGAGGCACCAGATTCAGCAGCAGATTCGGTGGCAGTGGGGGGGGTGCCACGTGAACGGATGTGAAGCCAGCGGCAGCATGGAGTCACTGTGCCACTCTGCCCAGCTCCGTGGGGCCCCCCGAAGCACGGGGTCTGGGACCATCACCCCAATTAGGGGACAGCCCTGTTTGTTCCAAATCTTTTCCTAGGAGCTGTCCTTGGGATCCATTGGAAAATTCATAAAAAGAATTGTCCTTTTTTAATTCACTTTGTTACCATTTTTATTACGAATTTCAAGCTTAATCATCAACTATTATCCTAAGCCTAGTTTGGTTAAGAAACTGGTAGGATTCTGTAGTTGCTGCCACATAAAGGAATGATATGGCTAGGTACACTTTCAATTACATTTGATTACCTAGTCCAAATGTTTACAGCTAATCTCACTGGAAGTTGTCTTTGGCACAAGGTTGGAGCAAGGCTTGAACTCACATCTGTGGACTTATTATAAGGGCCCTTGAGCCTGATACTTCAGTAGACTTTTTAAAGGTATAAAATCAGTTCATTCTCTCTGTTCTCATGATCGTTTCATGCATTGTATTTGCATGGAAAGCAAACATTCCATAATATCCACTATATACTTCCCTATGCAATTGGGATTATGAGCTTAATGGACAAATGTATGACCTGTGATACATATGTGCAACTCTTAATGAAATGTATGAGAGCTGCTCTTATTTTCTTAGAATGGACATTAACTGAAGTCATAATATCTAAAGCTGTTTCCACTTGGAGACTGAAGAAAAACTAGTATTTAAGCTCTCCCTAAGACCTCAATTTACTCTCCTCCTCTGTAATCATATTTGTATGATTCACTATAATCACAAGGATCTAAACTCATTTAAATCTCCTTGGGCTAAATATTTCTGTGATGCAATTGCATTAACGGTACTGGGCCTGCACCAGGGATGAGCTGACTTACTATGTAAAATAAGTATAGTGATTTTAGAAACAATTTAATTCAGCATTTAAGTAGTAAAAAATGTCCAACTGTAAAGGGTTAGGGTTCAGTCTGGTCCTCAAACCCATCCATCAGCACTGATAGCCAAATCTGACCTCTAAACCATCTCATTCTTAGCTCAAGCCATTTTCAGTTTGAGGGTGTGTCTGCATGTGCTATTAATGTGACAATAAACTCTGGTACAATTTGAGCCGGAGTAAACTAATCCGGATGTTACTATCTACAGTGTTACCATCTCTAGTGTTTAAGTGCAGTAATTTAGTCTGACTGTGTCTGACAGGACTATCTGATGGCACTGTGAATTAGTCTACACCAACCCAATTGCCATGCATGTGTAGATGGTGATGCTTTACTGTGCAGTAAATTAGTCTACTGTGCAGTAAAGCACACATGTAAATGTGACACAAGAGAAGAGAAATAGTCCCTCAAGCTGAAATGTCTTCAGCAATGAAGTGTGTGTGTGTGCACCTTTGAGTTTCTTTCCCTTTGCTCTGAATCACTTCCTTTTCCCTTGCTGTGTTCTGTGGGATTTTGTTTCTTACAATCATTTCATACCTCTTTCTCTTTAACCTTCACAGTTCCCCTGCTATCACCATTCAGCAGTGCCCTACACATATTACCTCAGTGAAAGAGTTAGGGTGAAATCTTGACCACACTGAAGTCAAGTGAAATTTGTCTCCACTGGAGCCAGGATTTCACCCAGTTTGTATATCTGAAGATGGACTCTAACTTTAAATATGGAGGCTTAATGCTGCTAGCAGCCTTGTCCCAATTGCTCATCTTTTATGGCTGGGACTATGTATTTTTTTCTACCATATTTTTCTACACTGAAAATAAACCATGCTTTGGATTGTCAAGGCTGTGAGTGTTTTTAACATTCTTGCATGACTTCAGTTCTTGGTTTATTATTTTAACACTTTGCTTTTTGCCAACTATTCTTGCTAATACCCTCGTTTCAGACTGGCTACTCTATACATTATATTCCAATGAACTTGAAACTTGGTCAAACATAAAGATATTGTTTGGTTTGTCAGTGCTACAGAGTGGTAAATTAATCCAGTTAGGAGACTCTCAGTGGGTGCTCTTCTGTACCCTTCACCTCTGCTCTCCCAGATTTCCCCCCACTAGAACCAGGAGACCCCAGAACTGGGGCACCAGACAGGAGTGGAGCCAGAGGTTACAGCATTCCCAGGAGATGGAAGGGTGCAAAGTGCTGACAGTCAACTACATTTTCCCCATTCTCCTGAGGTTGAGGGGCTGGAAGTGAAGGCAGGAATTGGAGCTGCAGGCCTCAGCAGTTCAGTGTTCCTCCCCCTGGCTAGATAGTACACCAGACCATGAGTGGTTTTGAATCACTCCAGCCAGGATGTCTTGGCAAGGAGCTGTACATCTGCCTGTAGCTGAAATGCTCTGTTTTTGAAGTGCTTCAAATGTTACATCTCTTTCCACCTCCAAGCTTCAAAATAAAACAGGTTTTTTTAAGTGTTCCATTAAACTGTGGAGCTGCTCAGACCAGGGGATAAGGGTCAGAAATGTGTTTGCTGGTTCTACCCTTCCAGTGGCCCTCCAGGCATCCTGCCCTCTCTTTGCAGCAGAGGACAATGTGGGGAAGAGTGATAGGGATGGAGTGTTGAGCCCAAAACACCTTCCTTCCTCTCTTTCAAATTAAACTTAGTATCTTTTAGGGGAAGCAATGGCATAAAGGCTGGATAGGGAGGAGAGAGAAGGCCATGTCTCTGTGATCTGTAGGATTGCTATGTTGCTTAGCACTAGCAGATCTCCACCCCCCTTGCAGAAAAACCATGCCTAGGCTCTGTATCTAGGCTGGACAAACTACCTTTCTGGATTTTCAAGAGCCAGACATTAAAAGGCAACGAGCACACAATGGTTTTGTACATCTTCTCAGAACCTTGGATGTCCAGGCACATGCTGGTTCTGACTGTTTGTCTTTGAAAGTTGGAGTTGACCCAGGAATATAGCCTACTGACATGCTGTTGGTCTTTAAAAAAAAAAAAATGGAGCCACTGCTAAAGTCAACCCTGTCCATGAAACAGTGTTTTGGCTGTGAAAATAGTGGCTAATTTTTAGCTAAGCCTCTGTCACTGAGCCTCCAATTATCAATGAAATTTGATAATTTGATAAGCCTCTGTCACTGAGCGTCCAATTTGCAATGAAATAGTTGTCTGCAATTAAGAAAGAAAAAAGAAAGCTGCCAACAAGGTGCCACATGGGGAGGGTTTCAACACATTCCCTACTTCTTTGTCAAAAACAAGTGTTCTGAGTCTGGGGTATTTTTCACTACTGGAATTATCAGGAATAACTGGAACACCACTTTAAAAGCTTTTGCCAACCAAACAACTGTTCTCAATCTGCCTTCTTTGCTTATTTTTCTTTCTGTTTCCCCCACTACTGGTAATTGCTCTTCCTTTATTCATATTCTATCCCCTCCTTTCACAGAGGCAAGGAAAATGTTGCTGCAGCAGCTGAAAACAGGTAAAGTTTGCTGTGTGTTCTGCTTTCTTTCTGTTCAAAGGTTCTGTCCCACTTACTCCATAAAGTTATTATCTTGAAATACCCATCAGGTATATGCACTGTTTGAACAAGTGAATTATTGTGTTGTTCCAGTTAAGGAGGTTTGCTAGAGATTTTTATTTTAATTTAGATTTTCAAAACATATGCGACAGGATGGCAGATTATATGAATTGTGCAAAAATACATTATGTTCAGATTATAGAAACCAGAAAAAAAAGAAACTTCTTATCAGTGTTCTTGAAAGAGAATATTGCAGTGGCTTGATAGAGATGCACAGGAGGAGTTTAATAACAATTTCGCTTTTGAAAATCCAATGTTATAGTTTAAGCTGCTCAATTGTTCTGTAAAATCCAAACTAGCGGAACTTCTTGGCATTTTAAAGCAATCTTGGTATGTTAAAAACAATTCGATGTCTGATTCTTGAGTTGTATTGGTAGATCTCGGGTTTAACAGTATTACCTCTTCCTGAATATAATCATCACCTGCATTTAGAAAGTGCTTTTCCTCCCTTAGGATCACAGTGCATTTTAAAACTTTGTTTTAGAGAGAGTGAGCAAGAGTGAGCATGCACTAGTTATGTGGCTACATCTCATAAAGGAAAAACATAATTCCAACACTAAGACCTAAAATGCAGCTACAGTATTTCTAGAGCTAAACAGTGCAACTCTAAGTGAGCACACCCAGGAGCAAATCACAAGGAAGTGTAGTAGCATGGTCACACACCCTTTTTTGTGGCCCTACCACAAGAGCAGTGACCAGGGACTTTTTTGAGCCCCCAAAGCAGGCAAGAATTCTCCTCTCCTTCCCTACCCCTCCCTTGCCTGCCCTTGCTGCTGTCCCCAGCTGAACTAGGGGCAGGGGGGCAGTCCAGAGCTTCAGGGAGTAGCTGTATGAGGAGCCAGGCTCAGCCAGGGACAGTGGCTGAAGGAGGTTCCTCCTACTCCCACCACTGTCCCCTCCAGGTATTTCCTGCCAGCCTGGGAGCCAGCACAAGGAGGACAACCTGCCCATGACCATCACCATGGCTGTTTCCAGCTGAGCCTGGCTCCCTGGGTAGCTGCTCCTTGCAGCCCTGCCTGGAGCAAGGCAGGAGCAGCTCTGGACATATCCCTGCCCCCAGGTCAGGCAGGGACAGCAGCAGGAGTGAGTAGGGGAGTGGGGGAATGGGAGGAAAGGTGATGTACTACTGAGCATGGGGCAGGGCAGGAGGGAGTGCCAAAAAGGGGGAGTGAAGATGGGATTCTTAGCTGATTTGGGGACTTAAAAAAAAGTCCTGGCTGCTGTTCTCATGGTGTTGTCATCTGTCCATACTGATAGGTGTGGGAGGAACTGGGAGCAGGGATACAGCCACCCCTGCAGCACTGGTCTCTGCCCATGAACACAGTGAATTTAGTGTATGCCAAGATGGGAAGATCCATGAAAATGTCTTTCTCTGACTCTTGGTTACATTACATGCAATAAGCACTTATCTTTTCCTTCTGCTTTTAAGATTTCTCATGTTTGAAGAAAGGCATCATAGAATTAAAACCAGTATAATTGCCAGCATTCTCTTTCACAACATATACAGTTATAACTGGGATGAATTATAATCCCAAAAGGAGGGGGGAAAAATCAAGTTTACTTGGTCATGCCATAAGTTTGGAGCAGGGGAAAGACCTGATTTCATTAAATAATGATATTTAAACTAAGTATCAGAAGCAGGTAGTGAATGGTAGTATGTTACCAATGTTACTGCTTATGTTAAAACCGCCCATTGGATTACAGAGTTGCTCCACTGAAACTTAATAATAAATCTTTTTTTTATTATTTGAACAATTTCTCCTATGTGGGTGATTTTGGTGTCGTGATAAAGCTTCTGAAACTCAAGTGATCCGTAATCTTTTCTCCACTTGTCAGTATCTCAGTTCTGTTACATGTATTATTTTGATGTCAGTGATGTGGTTTGCAGTTTTAGCTGAAGTATAAAGAAACTCTAATGAATCTGCCTAGATCTGTCTTGGATCTCAGAACCTCTCCCAGCCATAGTCTTTAGCTTACCATTGAAGGCTAGCATGATTTCTCTTATAATGCTGTGTGAATGTGCAATGGTATGAAAAGAGACTAAGATAAGAGGACAGTGGTGATTAACATAATTTTTCCCAGTAAAATACAAGACAGAAAACTAAGGCTTTCATTGTCAAACCAAGAACTAACTTGGCTTTACAATAAGGAGGCTCAGCAGTTTCTCACTCTTTCTCCTATGGCCTTGCCCAGGGCACCGAAATACTAAACCCTACAGTAGAGGGCTTTGAAATGCTCCCTCACTTGTTACATGATTAGCACGTGGAGAATGATGTGGAACAAATAAACCCCTTTTTAAAAGCACTGGCTCTTCTTTAGGCTGAAATTCTTCACTATTCACTTAAAACTGGTAATATGGTTAAGAATATATCTCATGCACATGCTCCCTTGTAATCTTTGTTACTCAGGCCTACAAGTACTACACATGTGCCACAGTATGTGACCTCAAGTATATGGCATCTTACTAAGTCACGCACCATGGATGCCAACATTGACAAAGCTAAACCAGTGGCCTCCGAGGGTTCAAGTCAGAGGGAAGCCAGTTTCAGCAGTACTGGCAAGAAAGCCCCTCTTACTTCTTCCAGTAATCAAAGGTACACTGCAACATGTAACTGCATAACTGACCTGGTTTGCAGCTTTGGTATGGTTTTGTAATAACCTTCTCTAACTCTCTTATATGGAAAATACCATTACCTTAAGACAAATATCTAGGTAGCTATGTACTATGAATTCTACTAACTTTTAATTTATGTAAACATCCTGTTCTAAGTGACTTTTCTAATGGCTGCTACTACCAGTATGGAGGGGGCAGCCAGAAAGGCAGTAGTAACAGATGAGCAACGATCCCTTTTATTTGCTTGGTGAATGTTGACTTGTTTTTCTTTCTACAAATGCAAATATAGAACACTCAAATTGTGTCCCACTCTAGATGCAGCCTCCTACATTTTTAACATTAGCATACAGGAGGAGAGATTGTTTCTTTGATTGCTCACTTTGATTTATGCTCCTGTATAATTTCAGTATTTCATCCTATTTGAGATTTCATGGGAGGACCCAGAAATATTACTTTGTGCACTGCCTATATGAAATAAAGTACAAATTTAATAATCTGCTGCTTAGCTATTTTTGCAAGATTCTTAAACCAATAATCTCTCAAAATTAGGACTCTTCTGAGACAAAGGAGACTGAGCTCTACTTATTTTTCTGTGTGTGCACGCATACGCACACAGGTGTATGTGTTTACCTTGTTTGTTAATCCTTATCACCTGCTTAATCCCTACTGATACATATTCCTTTTCATGTGTGATTAAAAGTATGGAACTGACTGAGATCTTACATTTCCTCTGATTATCTGCTTAAAATATAACATTCTGTAAAGACTGATGGAATTTGGCAATGGCTAAAAATGGACTGAAGAACCTAACAGTAAATGTCTATAAAATATTTAATCAGAAAACTATTCTTTAACCTCTGATGTTCCATACCAAATCCATTTTGTGTAATGTGACTTCCTTAGCAAACATAAGGAACTCAGATTAGCTAAAAATTCTGTTTTTCACTGGTCTCAGGATTATATACCAGGAACCTCCTAAATTATAATCTGGTCGCCATCACTCATTCCCACTGTAGCATTTATTCAGTCTCAAATTACACCATTCAGTGAATTGCATGTGGTAATTGAGGACAGTAACTTTGTATATGTACTAAATACTAGGGTTGTGTGAAGCTTTGGTCCCTGATTCGATTCGGAGGAGATTCAGCCTGATTAGGTGGCTGAATCTCTTAATCTGAATCAAATTAGGAGACCCTTTAATCTCTCCAAATCTAATCAAAATCTTCTGAATCAATTTGGAGAGATTCGGAAAGATTTGGCGATTCAGACATAGAAACAACTTTAAATGTTTTTTCTACATACCTCAAGGTAGCAGGCAGCTCATGAATGCTGTAATGCTGGGGCAGATGGAGCATCCCACAGGAGTGCAGGGGGGTCCCCAGTGCGCTCTGCAGCAGATCCAGAAGTGGACCAGAAGCACTTCTGGTCCACTTCTAGGTCCTCCGGGGAACACACCGGGGGCCCCCCCACATCTCCTGGCTCAATGACTGGTGCCTCCTGGTTCGGGGGGGGGCACCCAGGATCCCCCTGCAGCCAATCACCAAGCCACGGGGGGGAAAGGGGGCCCCCCAGAGGACCCAGAAATACTTCCAGTCCACTTCAGGGTTGAATGCCAAGCATGCAGGGGGGCCCCCTGTGCTCCTGTGGGATGTTCCATCCACCCCAGCATTGCAGCATTGATGAGCCGCACCTGGTACCTCAAGGTATGTAGAAAAAACATTTAAAGCTGTGTCTATAGCCGAATCACTGATTCTCCGAATCAGCATTAAATCTTCAGATTCGGCTAAATCAAATCAGGGACAGTGATCCGAATCAGTGAATTGAATCACTGTCCCTGATTGAGGTGAAATCCAAATCCAAATTGAATAGGGCCTGTTTCACACACCCCTACTGAATATTATTATTCCTACATAACAAGAATGATGATTTACTAAACAAGCTGCAGAAATGAGCCATTCTTTTACCTGTATGAAATGTCCCTTCTGTAGAGCAGTGGGTGAAATCCTGGCTTTACTGAAGTCAGTAGCATACCACCCATTGACTTCAGTGGGACCATTTTTTCTCCTTGATGATTTACAGGATATGTAAAAAAAAAAAAAAAAAAAAATGTTCAGGTGATCTGAGTACCAGCATAAAAATGAAGGGCCAAACTCTTCTTTTATTTATCCTGTTGTATATTTTAAGTGATTTTGGTAAAGATAGCAAAGATGATCTTGGTTCTTCCTTAAGAACTAGAGAAGCAGTAGGCCATAAGTGCAGAAGATACAGGTAGCCAGATCACCTTGCTGTCTCTGCTGTTTATATATGCTTCATATTTCGATGTTCTTATTCTATTCAATACTGAATATATATCATGGTGATCTGCTGTTGTAGGAGGGGGATCCAGTCTCCTAGTGTTTAGATTTCAGGCTGCTAAGACACCTTGCAAAAAATATTCTGATGTGAATGGTTTGTATATTTATCATGTGTTCTAATATGCTTACATTCACTTTTTATATCTCCAAAAATACATTAATTCATCCCAAACTTGTTCCAACACACATTCATGTCCACACAGGTCCTTAACTTCCCTTTGTTTGATTAATCAGTAAGTACATGTTGTGCTGCAACTCTTGAGCACCGCCACTGTATGCTTACATTCACTAGGTGAAACTCTGGCCTTTATTGAAATGTATGACAAAATTCTCATTGATCTCAAAGGAGACAAGGATTTCCGTTTCTTTATTTTGCCTTCCTGGGTTCTGTTTGTTGTTTAGGAAAGAGCCACAGTAAACTTCATCTTGTTTGTATAAACTTCATCTTATTTCATCTGTCCACCCAAGTTTGCCAAATCTAAGATACAAGTGTAAAATTTAGAATTTGTTTATTTTGGTATGACTACTGCTTAAAACAGACACTCAGCTATGCATTGCTTGCAAAGAAACAAATGTGATTCATATTTCTTGAGCCAGAGCTACTGTGTAATGTACAGCATTGTAATTGTACAATGTCTCTTCCTAGAAATAGTAATGTATAATGTTGAAACAATGACTAAGGTAAATGAATTCACATGTTAAAATAAGGCATCAGAACAAGGAACTTTAGAGTTGTTTCAGGTATGTGTGTATTGTGATGAGAAAGCTTTGTGAAAAAGTTGCAAAGCATGTTCTGAATCCCAAATTGTAGACAATGGAGGGATTTTCAGTGGAATTCTGTAGATAATGATGGATAAAATACATAAAAGTAGTAACTATGGATTTGACTTATGGATTTGACTTTTATTATTATGGGTTGGTTAAAACCCACTGAATCAGTCACCCTTCCATTCAGACTAAAGAAGAAGGCCCCTTTGTTTAGTAAGAGCTGAAATAATAGAGGCTACCACATAAAACACACACACCTGACAAGCATGAGTAGAATATGTACCACATAGACAGAGGGTTTTCCTAAACCCTGATAGAGCAAATACATTTAGGAGCCTGAGCTGAGTAGCAGAGTTGTATCTGTGTTTTGAGGGACTTGGAAGAAAACTGGAAGTGAGAACAAGCATTGGGAATGTGGTCCTGAAAAAAAACTAACAGAGAGCGCTTTTGGGCTACCTGTAAACGAGGAACTGTGAATAAAAACTCTGCATCTTGTTTGA